TGGAGAAAATATATACCAAAATAACGACATCGACGCCGGCGTCAACCAGTTTCTTGAGCCGCTCTTTGTCGCCATCACGTGTGCCAATGGCGGCGCCGACAAGTAATTGCTTGTTCTCGTCCTTCGAGGCCAACGGGTAGTCGCGGTGTTTCTTGACGTCCGTGCGGGCGATCAGAGCGGTGAGAGAGAGAGAGAGAGAATATTCTGTCACAAATGTTGTGAACCTTTTATCAAAGAAAATTTTATTGTGAAACACACTTTTCATGGGGCGCGCGATAAATAGCGGAGACACTTACCCCCGATGTGTTGGTAACTGACTGGCCATCCATTGCCAGTCCCTCCACCAGTGCCGCCGTTACCGATGATATGGCACATCTGTACTATACTGGCTGTATGACCATGATGGTTTTTGATGGTTTGCCTTTTCACGCTATGTATTGTACGATTCACTGGTATTACAAATTGTAGGGTACGGTAGAGAGGGTACTGGTGTGCAGTTGACTGCGATATATGTTATAGTATTTTCAAGTACCCACCATTCAAAATAACCCTGGTGTTTCATTGTTATAATATGTGCCATTTCGTGCATTCAATGGCTTTTATTAACTCTAGACTACGCTTATACTGTATATAAAGATAGTGTTGTGTAAAATGTTTTCAAAAAAAGTTGCCAATAATTTTTCATTGAGAGAGAGAGAGAGAGAGAGAGAGAGGCAAATAGCACCCAAGCATAAGTAGTAGTTTCAAATAGTCTCTCTCCTCTCACGCATATATGCAGTATCTTTGGTGTATATCTTTCACATCTAACGCGTCTTTTTAAGCATCAGTTATACAATGAAATAGAGTATAAAGTGATTGTGTGAATACAAATCGGTGTACATTTTCTCGGGGGCCAAACAATACCCCCAAAAACCGATGTCAACAACAATATTGTCTGCGATACCAATCGCTGGCGATAAGAGGTTATTGAGTGCCAAACGTTGATTTCAATAACATCTCAAATATATAAACGCAAATCCAAACGATAACTTTTTGACTTTTATTTCTATGGGGTATAAGATGTGACGTTTTTTCAAGATTATCATACTCAATTTATATAAGCTATGTCAGTTAGTATCATCTATAGTGTATTTACACATTTCGCTTTGAATCAAATTAAATTCAACATTAGTTTTGGAATAAATATAAATTTCAAAATTCTAGAAACTTAAAAAATATACTGAAATTTTATGCAAATTTTAGAAATTGCTTATTATATCACAACTTATCCCATTTACACCAAGGTAATAAATCAAACTGACCCGTCATATAATACACATCATACACTTCATACACTATCTCGTATGCATACAATACCGAAGCGTTTGGACTGTCGTATACAATAACATTAAGGCTGTGTTCATGTATTGTATTGTAATGTCCAGACTCTGTGTCTGTGAATCTCTCTCTCTCTCTCTCTCTCTCTCTCTCTCTCTCTCATTCACTTATTTGCTGACATACTTTGCCAGTCTCTCTGAGTACGTCATTTTTCTCTTGTTAAGCCATTTATGTCTATTGTCTAATAAATTTCTAATTTATATAAAAGACAAATATTATATCGATTCCAAAAATAATTGAATTAAATGTAAAAATAGTATAATATTATAAATTGTGTAATTTCTTGTCCATACGGATGGAGAGAGAGAGAGAGAGAGAGAGAGAGAGAGAGAGAGTCGAAGGGTAATGTAAATGTCTTGCCATGGTTATTGTATATTTAGTGTACTGTATGCCACAGGACTGTAGACTTTATGGGCAGTGTATTGTTTGTGCCCATGTATTGGTTGCATTGATTCAGTCATACAGTGCTAACACTTCATCATTTTGTCGTTTAGTCTATTGTCATCTGTCAAGTGTACCAACGATTTCCACAATACAGGGGCAGAGGGTTTGCATTGATATATAGTATGGCAACAGTTATGAGACGGGGAGGGGAGGGCAGCCGCTCTGGCATTCTTATAACACCCATACATTTCTCACTACACGACAACTCATGTATGCCTTTTATACTCCTAAATGTCAATCCATCGCATATAGAGAATGGGAGAGAGAGAGAGAAAGAGAGAGAGAGAGAGAGAGAGAG